TCTACCTGTCCCAGGTCTTGGGATCCTTGCTATCTGCTTCCAGACCTCTTTGATGCTATCTACCTATCTTTGTAGTTAATTAGAAAAAAAGAAGTCTTGGCATTCCAATTTATCTACTAACTAGTTGTGTAGTCTTAGTCTTAGGTAAGAAACTTAATTTGTCTAGGCTTATTTAATCATTGTAAAATAGAAGGATTAGACTAGGAGATTTGTAAGAAAATTCTTATATTACACACAGTATTGTAACTGACTATTATATCTGATGACGAGGCCTCTATTACATGTTACTTTATGATCCCTGAACCCAGCACACTGCCTGGCACCTAGGATGGTAAACAAATATTATAGATTTAATAAATGAGTTCCCTTCTAGCTCTAAACATTTCTAGGTTGTAATCGCAAGATTCCTGCCTAGAGCCCTGCCAGTTACATATAACCAGGTCCCTAACATCAGGTTCTTCATTCACCTGGAGCACATCAATGAACCTCACATATGCCAACCAGTGTTACAAATGTTTCCAGTCAAGAACTTCCTGGATGAGATGGCATTCCCTTGTCTGAATTACCCTTCAGAACTTATTTTTTGTGTTTTTTTGCCTTCTGTCTGATTCATCCTAACACCAAAGAAAAATCAGTTCTGAAAACTACAGATATTCTTTTAGCTATAGCTAATACCAACAAAAGGTCAGCAGTTCGAATCCACTAGTCGTTCCTTGGAAACCCTACAGAGCAGTTCTACTCTATCCTATAGGTTCAGTATGAGCTGCAATCAACTCAACAGCAATGGTTTGGTTTGGTTTAACAGGTAATACCAATAGACCAGAGGTCATAAATTCATATGCCCAAATAGGCCAAGTGTCTTAGTTTTCTAGTGCTGCTATAACAGAAATACCACAAGCAGATGGCTTTAACAAACAGAAATTTATTCTCTCAGTCTAGGAGGCTACAAGTCCAAATTCAGGGTGCCAGCTCTAGGGGGAGGCTTTCTCTGTCTGTCTGCTCTGGCAGAAAATCCTTATCACCAATCTTCCCCTGGGTCTAGTAGTTTCTCAGCGCAGGGACCGTGGGTCCAAAGGATGCGCTCCGCTCTTGGCTCTTCTTTCTTGGTGGTAGAAGGTCCCTCTCTCTCTCTGTTTGCTTCTCTCTCCTTTTATCTGTTGTAAGATAAAAGGTGATGCAGGCCACATCCAAATGAAACTCCCCTTACATCGGATCAAGGCTGTGACCTGAGTAAGGACGTTGTATCCCACCTTTATCCTCTTTAACATAAGCTAATCTTGCCTCATTAACCACAGGCAGAGATTAGGATTTACAACACATAGGACAGTTACATTAGATGACAAAATGGAGGACAACCACACAGTACTGAGAATCATGGCCTAACCAAACTGACACATACTTCTGGGGGACACAATTCAATCCATGACACAAGGCAAGTAACAAAAATGAGTCAATCAAGCTGAGTCTAAAACAATAAGGAGTGCTGTGTACAATGGCAAACTGGAAAGCAAATACTCACCTAAAAGCAGCTGCGGCTACTCAGCTATAACCTATTGTTGCCATTTAGGAATGTTAGATGTTTTACTTTCTCAAGAAAATCCAGAAACACGGATATTTATGTAAAATCTCTCTAGATAACATTTGCAGAGCACTTACTATGCTACATACTTCAAATAGATTAACTCAACCAATTCTCACGATTGGCAGGTACTATTATAATCCCTATTTTTTGCCAATAAGGAAACTAAAATTTAGAGAAACTATACCACATGACCAGTACCACAAAGTTACTAAAGCGGTACAGTGAGAATATGATTACAGGGCGTCAGATTCCTGAGTTCATAATTTTAACCGCTTTACCTCTAGTGTTGTACTTGCTATTTTTCTGACCTCCCAATCTCTGGCCTAGGTCTTTCCATCTGGATCTATACCATCTATCTGCTCCTTCTTGCTAGCCTATTCTGTAAGTATCTCCAAGAACTCAATGTTGCCAGAATCCTAATTTTGGACCAACCTGGCCAACCCTGCCCTAGCATTGCTATACAAAGAGAAAGAGGGAGGTGGGGGGAGGGAGAAAAAGAAGGAAAGAGGGAAACCCACCAGTCAACAAGCCCCATCCATGTACACAGGGCTCCAAGAGATTTATGAAGAAAAAGACCTATATATACACAACAACAGAGGAAACTCAAACCATTTACCCAGAAATATTAACCCAGTCCCTCATTCACAAGTATGAACTGACAATTAAGGATAACAAGATATATGAAGAAAGCTAGCAATATGAAAAATAATAATAAAACAAGCAAAAAGAAAAAAAATCTGGGAGAAACAGGTCATTTAAAGAATATAAGAGAACGTAAAAACAAGCAAAAGAAAAAAAAATTACTAGTATCCTCAAAGACTTTTGAGAAATAATACATCCACAAAATAAGAAAATAATGCTGCATTAAAAGGAATAATCAAAGATAAAGTGGTGGAACCATCCTAATTATCTAAAACAAAAAATATAAAGAGACATAAAAAAAGAAAGGGAAAGAGACAGAGAACCAACCCAATATGTCCAACTTTCAACTACTAATAGAAACTAATAGGGAGGACAGAGAAAATTGAAAAAAGAAACTGCCAAAGAAAATTTTCCTGAGCTGAAGAAAAAGGGGCCCACAGAGTGCTAAGAAATAAGAAAAGTAACCTCAGTATCCTTCTTGGCTCTACAGTGAGTCATAACAGTGTAAGTACTGTTAATTGTTTTTGACTTTTAGAATCAATCTTACAAAAGAAAAACATGAAAGATAAATACTACAGAAAATAATATAAATTTTACCAACCTTGACAATGTTAAAACAAGACTACAACCGACAAAAGCTCATAAGAGAGGAAAGGGAGGATAGGGGTAGGAATACCTGCGTCTTACATAGTACAGAGTCAGGAGATGCTAAAAAATCTAACAGAACAAGAAACAGAAATGTAGAACATTAAAGCAGAAAAAGTAAGAATAATGCCTATCTAGACATTTAAAGACAGAAGGGCCAAGTGGGAGTACATGAGCTAAAATCCCATCATTCTTCGTGAAGAATTAAAAGATAATACAAAACTCTGACATATATGAAAGAGAAAAGAGTATGCATATTATTTAGAATTATGAAAGTAACCACCAGAAGCATTGAAAACTGATATAACTGAAAGTGGCTATATCTACTGAAAAATTCAAAGACTGGAAATATAAGGCAAGAGAGTATTGTTTATGTACCGTTCTGTATTATGTTAATTTCTTACCATCCACAGGCTTTATTAAAAGTATTAATCCTATCAATAAACAAATAATTTTCTAAATTTAGGACTAACGTGTGCCTGACCCAACCCATGGTATTTTCAATCACCTCATAGGCACGCGAAAGCTGGACAATGAATAAGGATGACCGAAGAACTGATGCCTCTGAACTACGGTGTTGGCAAAGAATATTGAATATACTATAAACTGCCAAAAGAACAAACAAGAAGAAGTACTGCCAGAATGTTCCATAGAAGCAAGGATGGTGAGACTTCGTCTCACGTACTTTGGACATGTTATCAGGAGGGACCAGTCCCTGGAGAAGGACATCATGCTTGGTAAAGCAGAGGGTCAGTGAAAGAAAGGAAGACCCCTCAACGAGATGGGCTAACACAGTGGCTGCAAAAATGGGCTGCAGCATAACAACGACTGTGAGGATGGCACAGGACCATGCAGTGTTTCGTTCTGTTGTACACAAGGTCGCTTTTAGTCAGAGCCAACTTAAAGGCACCTAACAACTAACAACAAACTTAATAAGAATATGTCAAATGATTGAATAATAAAGCATTAAGTGCTTCTACAAATCAGTTTTTATTTTTGTTTGTTTGTTTGTTTTGAATAAAGCTAGAGTCCACCAATACTTAGCTGTTCTGGAGTTCTTAATCTGAAATTCATGGAGCCCCTAAGCATTTTCTTAAGAGAGAATTCATAGCCTTCAACAGGTTGTCAGAAGATTAATGTGACCCTAAAATAGTTAAGAACTACTAACATGTATATAGATATTTTCACACTGAGCTGTTTTATGAATACATTCCTAGAAGCAATTTATCATAAAAATTGAGTAATATCTACATTTTGTACATGTAAAAGTCAATCTTATTCCAAAAAAGTTTTCAGGGCAGTTTATAATACGAATGCTACAAAGGAACTGCAAATATTTTTAAGTAAGGAACTCAGGAAGTAAAATAATCTTAGAAATTAAACTATGAAATACTAGTATATTAAACACATACCATGTAGTTCAGCAGATGAGGTAAACAAAATAAATTTATTACTGACCTTTCTAGTAGCCAAGCAAAAACAAAAATATGATTAGATACAAGATTGAAAGTATCCATGAGAACTAAACCAGTTGCTAAAGAAACACAAATAATCCTAGTATTTTACCTGTAAATACAGTCAACAGTAATTACTGAAACTTTCTCTAAAAGAAGTTTTAAATTTAAAATTACAAGGAAGAAAGTAGAAAAATACAGCTTGAAAACTTAAAAATTAGGCATCCATAGAAATATAAACTGAGAAAAAAGTTTCACAGAAATATGCCCCGTTTACAATTTCTTATAACACAAATAAAACAATGATTTATACTGCTCTAGCATATTTTAATTTTTATAAGAAATATTACCTCTTTACCAACTCTTCAGTCAACAATTAGACTGGACTATGGGGCATAAAAGGATACTCATGAAGAGTGTACGTCTTAGCTCAAGTAGATACTGAGACTAAATGGGAAGCTCCTGTCCAGAGGTGAGATGAGAAGGCAGAGAGGGTCAGGAGCTGGTTGAAAGCACGCGGGATATCAGGGGTAGAAAGAAAGAATGTGCTGTCACAGTATAGGGAGAGCAATTAGGGTCACATAACAACGTATGTATAAATTTTTGCATGAGAGACTAACTTGAATTGTAAACTTTCACTTAAAGTACAATAAAATAAAATTTTTTTAAAAAATTACCTCTTTAGGGTTAAAATGTTGTGGGGTTGTTGACCGATGTCATAAAACAGCATGTGTGTTACTGTTACATGAGAAACTATCTGTTCTGTAAGCCTTCACCTGAAGTACAATAAAATATTTAAAAAAAAAAAATTACCTCTTTAATTGAAGTAACTGAAACCTTAAACCTTCTACTACTAAAAATAATGGACATGAACTTAATGTGATTAAAGCTACATGAGTTTGCCCAGAAGGTAATAAAATATTTACAAATTATGTTTGACTGTTTAATTCTCAGCTTACTGACTTATTTAAAAATCTTTACTAAAAAACAGAAAATTAATCAAAAGGACACTTTCTAAAATCATCCTTGAAAAAAACACAAATAATCAATTGCTTTGCTTTCATAAACAAATACAATTTTGATTCACTAATAAAGACAAAAATGAGCTGCCAAATACAGGAATACTAGACATAATCTGACTACATGAGTAGAAATGTAGGTCACTGGCATACTTCTAATATGATGATCACTGATGAACTTTCAGAACATAAAACAGAAAATCAGATTCTCTAATTTGCATGGCCCAATAATGTAGGACTGTACAGAGCCAACTGACCTCCTTAAGGTTGCAAAATAGATAAAACAGAAAGTAGACTGAGAACATATCAGTATAATATGTGCTACCTCATTTAGAAAGAAAAAAAAAAAACACAGACATAGCTAAAGCTTTTAAGTAAATGCTTATGAAGAGTTCTAAATTTTTTTAAAATGATTATTAATATCCTACCAAACTTCCAAAAGACTACTGCAATACATACGGAATTTTTCCATGTCCCTGAAAATATTAAAAGTTTTTATGGGTATACTTTTCATGTTTAACATATTATTCAATGATCTTGGCATATGCAAAACTACAAGGAATAGAAATTTAAAAATTAAATTTTATATTTAAATGTTATCTGTCATAGCGTTGGTTTCCCATTACTGTTATTTTAAATGAAAAGCCCATATTTAATACATAAAATGACCAATTCAATGTTTCAAGTGCTTTATTAAGTCTCTATAAAAATTACATTACATGTCTTTAGGCTTCTCTGAAATTTAAATGAGTAAGGGTATTTGTGATGTGATGGCTAGCCGTTACATCGCATGCTTCTATTAGCAGCAAGTGTCCCAATTACTGGTTTCTGGCATTGACTCAGCTCTGGTTGTCTAAGAAAACACTAAATATTTACTTTTAAAAGCTAAATCATTAACTGCAATGTCAAAAATGGACATCAGTTTCTCTAACTACGTACTACAGAAACTTATTTTGTCTCAGAAAGATTTAGTAACTATCATCTGCAACACTTTTCATTTTTGAAACCCGATTTCAGTGATACCCCCTTATACATCCCTATTAAGATTCAGGAAATTCTGGCCTTTAAAAATTACCACCAGCTTCTGTTAGACCAGTGCTTTCCAAACTGTTAACCAGGACCCATTAGTGGGTCATTAAATCAATTTAACGGGTCTCAAGCATCAGTTTTTAAATGAAATATTACAGAATGGAAAAGAAAATGGAGTACACACATGTAATAAGGATAAGTACTGTTTAATGAGATTTTGTTTCATATGAATGAATATGCATATTATAATCAGTTATAATTAAGTCAATTATAAGTGAAAAAACTTTATTAAAATCTAAATTTCTTTCTGTATACATAAATGTTACTAAAAGTCTTAATAATAATATTCCAATTATCTAGGTCCAACTGTTTCCCAGTAACTAAAATATGAGCATTTCACATATTCTCAAACTGTCTTCTGTGCCTCCTCTTTTCAACTTCACAAGTAAATTTACATTTCCATTAATAATACATCTTAACACAGACAATGAGTCTCAATACTTGGAGAGGGAGGAAATGTTTAATTTGAAAATGCCCCAGCTCCCAGAAGCATGTATGGTATGTTTCCTGCCTCTTTAAGAATGACAGGAATCAAAAATCAAAGAGAGGTCAGGCTAAATTTATATTACTGAAATATTCACCACATCAACTTCTATGAGCAAGTCATCTCACTATCTATAATCACTAACTTGATTGCAAACCCCGATAATAACAGTGATATAAAATGTAAATGGCAAGCCATCAAGAAAAGTCATGTTCCATTTTAGGGCATTTACTTTCATTCAACAAATAAATTATTGAGCATTTACCATGCACCAGACATAGTTCCAGGTGCTGGGAATATAAAAGTGAACATGCCTCAGAAAAGGTCTCAATAAGCCTTTTTTTTCCATACAAATATTTATACATACATTGTTACGTGACTCTAACTGCTCTCCCCATACTATGACACCACACTCCTCCTTTCCACCAGATTCCCCATGTCCATTCAACCAGATCCTAACCCTCTTTGCCTTCCCATTTCACCTCCAGACAGAAGCTACCCATTTAGTTTCTTGTATCTACCTGAGCTAAGAGACACACTTCTCAGTACTACGTCTTCATGTCCCACATTCCAGTCCAACCCGTCTGAATAGTTGGCCTCAGAAACTGTTTTAGTTCTGGGCTGGTAGAGAATGCAGGGACCATGCTTTCTGGGGTACCTCCACTCTCACTCAGACCATTAAGTCTGGACTTCTTACTAGAATTTGAGTTCTGCACCTCACCATTTTCTTGCTCCATCCGGGACTCTCTGTTTCGTTCCCTGTCAGGGCAGTCACTGGTGGTAGGTGAACACCATCTAGTTCTTCTGGTCTCAGGCTGATGAAGTCTCTGGTTTATGGGGCCCTTTCTTTCTCTTGGGCTAATACTTTCCTTGTGCCTTTGGTGTTCTTCATTCTCCTTTACTCCAGGTGGTTGGGACCAACTGATACAACTTAGATAGCCGCTTGCAAGCTTTTAAGACCCCAGACGCCACTCACCAAAGTACGATGCGTAACATTTTCTTAATAAGCTTTGTTATGCCAATTGACCTAGATGTCCCCTGAAAGCATGGTTCCCAGACCCCTACCCCTGCTACTCTGTTCCTCGAAGTGTTTGACTGTATTCAGGAAACTTCTTAGCTTTGGTTTAGTCCAGTTGTGCTGACTTCCCCTGTAGTGTGTGCTGTCCTACCATTCACCTAATTCTTATCTAATATCTAGTTAGTGAATAACCCTCCCCTCCCTCCCCACACTCGTAACCATCAAAGAACGTTTTCTTCTGTGTTTAAACCTTTTCTTGAGTTCTTAGAATAGTGGTCTTATACAATATTTCTCCTTCTGTGACTGACTAAATTCACTCGGCATAATGACCTCCAGCTTCCTTCACTTTATGTTTCACGGCTTCATCGTTGTTCTTTATCGTTGCATAGTACTCCATTGTGTGGATATACCATAATTTCTTTATCCGTTCGTCCGATGATGGGCACTTAGGCTGTATCCATCTTTTTGCTATTGTGAACAATGCTACAATGAACATAGGTGTCCATATATCTACTCCTGTGACAGCTCTTATTTCTCTAGGATATATTCCAAGGAGCAGGATAGCTGGATCGTATGGTACTTCTATTTCTAGCTTTTTAAGGAAGCGCCAAATCGATTTCCAAAGTGGTTGTACTATTTTACAT